GTTTGCAGAACTGGTCCTTAAAGAGCGTTTGCAGAATGGGGCTGTAAGAAGCGTTTGCAGAATTGGGCTGTAAGGAGCATCTCCTCCTCCAGGCTCTTCCAAGCTGGCTGCTGGAATAAAGGCCAATGATGGGACCTCCAAATGGGAGCTGGGGAGACTCAGCCTTAGGCATCATCCCTAGGAAACCCAACAGGCCTCTAAGCGTGTCCTAAACGYGGGAGCATCCTGCGCCCCTGGGGCTCCCGGAGCTGCATCCACAGGATGGGCAGACCCCGGACCTCTCCGGAGCTGGAGGCTGTGCAGCCTTCCTGGCAGTGGGATACGGAGCCTTCCCTGGCTGCAGGACCTCAGCGCAGGCTGCTCTGCGTCGCTTCAGCACCGTGCTCCCCAGCACCCAAGTTTGACAAGACGTTTTAGGGTGCCGGGCTTCCCAAGCGCTTTTGGAAGCTGCTCCTGCAGGCATCTTTGGATGGGAAGTTCCAGGGAGGCCATCGCTCCAGCCTCCTCTTTGCAAAGCCGGTCCCCCAGAGGACGCATTCTTGGCCTTGACTCTCCCAAAGCTCCTCGGTTTTGGCCAGGGATGAATCCGAGCCGGCAGGGCTGCCCTGGGCCGCGCGGCTGCAGCGCCCTGACCCGCCCGGGACACCCATCTGGCGTTTCTCCCTCCCGTGCAAACTGCGCGAGGAGAGGGAAATGCTTTAATGGAGAGATAAGCCCGCAGCTGCAGCTGAGCGCGGGGGCAGGAACGCGCTCTTGATCGGGAGATGAGATGGGAAGCCCCAAGATGGATGTTGCGCCGCGGTCCCTCTCCTATAAAACCGCGCCGCGGAGGCTCCGCTCTTCCCCTGCAGCCGGGGGCCCCGCGGGCTCTCCCGGGGCACCTGCCCTGTAAATCCTCCTCCTCCTCATCCTCCTCCTCGCCCTTGGACGGCCCCGCGGCGGCGGGAGGGAGGCCGGAGGATCCTCCCGCGGGGCGGCTGCACGGCCGGGGCCGCGGCGCCTCGCTTGCTTTGAAGTCGCTTGGCGGAGCGGTGGGCGCTGCGGGGGCCGCGGGAGGCCGGGCGCAGCCCCCCGCCCGCCCCGCGGCCTCCCCGTGCTCACTCGTCCTCCRCGGAGGCCGCAGCCTCCACACACACCCGGGCTGGACTGGGCTCGCAGCCGCCCCGCAGGTGGGAGCCCCGCGGGGCCGGTTGCCCCCTCTGCCCGCTCCACCTCGGGGGGCTTCGCTGCGCTGATCTGGGCTTTGCAGGGCATCGTGCAC